CTCTGTTGTGCCCAGGGCCTCAAACATGTATTTACTCGGAATAGTTTAAACCCAGATTCACACTCCTCGTTGAGATCAAGGGCGTATGAGTCCTAAGGTGATTTTTAATCTGCATGACCTCTGACTAATACTACCGTCAGAAATAGAACCAGTACTACTAACACTCAGCCACATTGCTAGTTAGTAGTAATAGTAGTAGTAGTAAAAAATCGTAGTAGCCGTATCAGTCGCGACCTCCTTAAACTTGTCTTGACACCTACTGAAGGTGAGTGAGGATAGGTAGTGCGGTAGTAAACGCGCAAAGTCTACTGTCACTAACGATGAAGTAAGGCGGTGTTTCTGGATCGCTTTGGAGAAAGTGGCCAGCGCCGGATCCAATCTGGTCTTTTTGGTCCATGGTGAAGGTGAAAAGTGCGGTTGGTGCTAACTACGTCTGCTATCACTTTAGAGCTAACCCCTGGGGCCACTCACCATCACCTCACCCACCTGTTGGTGCATATGGTGGACTTCATTGTCGAACAGTCATAATCATACACACAAATGTATGTATGCTGCCCGATGCACGACAAGCCCGAGGCGACTGTTTGCTAGCGTGTAGTGGGCATTAATAAGTAAACGTCATGCGTGCGGTGAGTGCACCACTGACCGCTTGATCAGTTGCTTGGCCAATAGCAGTTTTTGCCACCTGTGATTGGCTGTCCCTAAGGCAGGCTTATCGCAGGGGGTTAAGTGAGTTAAACCCAGCAACTGCGATCTTCAGACCATGGTTACTTGTGAGAGAAGAAGTCGTTAAAGGCCGGAGTAGTAGGAAGAATGTATTGTGTACACAAGGGACGAGAAGTCGGTAAAGGCCAGTGAAGTAGGAAGAGTATATTGTGTACACAAGGAAAAGGAGAATAGATGGAGGAAGTCTGACTTGGGAGAACATGTCCGCTCAGGAGATTGACCAGTCCCAAGTGACTGTTTGAGAGCAGTTAGGCCAGCAGACAGAGAGGGAGAGAGCGCGTTCATTGGATAGGTCGGCCTTGAGATTTTGGGCAAAGAAGCAGCTTGCGTCGGGAAAGCGTGCAAGCTTGCTATTCGTCGCTTGGCCCAAACCGCGTAGATGCGGGAAC